GGGCCGTATCCGTTCAATTATTTTCTCTCTCTCTCTCACACACACATATATCACCCCACTGCAAAAGAAGAAACTGTATGTGAATTAACCAGAGTGACATTGGCACAACCCGAGCGGTGTCGTAATCATAATTACACTCGTTTGTAATATTAATTACCTGGGGCGTATTAGTCCGTAACCGTGACCAGAGCGCGCGATCTGGCGAGGCGATGCACCGCAGATGCCGCGTCTCCAGCGTCACCGCGCACGTGAACAAATGACAGCGAAGTGGATCGAGAAACGAGGCGGCTCCTCGCGAGCCGATAAGCCCTCGACAAACTCGAACTCTGGTAAATAACGACGACGAGGGAGAGCTCACGGATGAGATGAGCGATGCGGTGGGGGGGGGGGGGGGGGCTTACAGAGAGAGAGAGGGGGGGGGGGAAGAAGACAGGGGAGGTGCAAAACGGCAGCCGAGGTGGCGCAGAGGAGGAACGGTGAAGGGCGCGAGTGGGGTGTGGGCGAGGGTGGCAGGGGGTGCTCTCTGGGGTGCGTCCGTCGGTGGAGGGGCGGCGGCGGCGGGGGGTGGGGGACGACCGTCAGTCTGGGGGTGGTGGCCCCGCGCACGAAGAGAGATCGCCGTCTTTGTGGTTGGGGCCGCCTCGCGCGTCCCCGCTCCGTGCTCCCACGAGGGGGCTTCCTGAAGATGGGGCCCCGCTCCCCCGCACCTCCGCCCGCTCGAGATGACACTCAAAAGCCAATAAAGCGCCGCGGAGCCAGCTGGGAATTCGGAGCAAGATCCATTTCCAGAGAAGGAAATAAATAAAAAAAGAAGAGGGGAAAAAATGGTGTTGCCGAGTTGCGGTGTTAGATCGTATTTTGACAAGCGGCTTTGATAGACTGCCGTGGTTTGACCTTTCTTTGACTTGGGAATTACATAAAAGGGGCATCGGTTTTAAAGGTGATTTTAATACGCGACCAATTAGAAACTGACGTCCGTTTGCATCGATATTTCAAAATGATGCGGGGATTGTGCAAGTGTTACGTAAAATCATTGGCGGTTGGAAGGCACGAAATTAAAACGCGCGGCGTCTCTAAGGTGCGGACGGACACTTCTCAGACGGCGACCTCCGCGCGGCTCGCTGTCAAATGTATTTGATTTGGATCCTCGTAAGAACAGCTGCTGTGATGTGTGCCACTGCCTTGATGTCTGAATTCAAGCGTGAAACAGTAGCAGAATGGAATCCCCACATCTTGGCGCCCACCCACCTCCCCCCCCCCCCCAACTTATCCAACGTTAACTTCTAGAAGTGTATCGCAATCGCCAGCCAAGATCAATCCACTGCTGGATGAAAGCCTCCCGAAGCCTCGGCTATTTCTCACGGTTCCACAATGTACTCTAAGACACGTGCCATTGCTTGGCACAACAGTACAGCACACACGTCACTTGTGCGCATGCCCTGTGGCCACAGATGCAATCAGCAAGAAACGATTACGATCGGCGCGGCACACGATGGCGTGGTGTGGCTGACAACCTGTCCAGCCGCACGTGTCCAGCCTCCTTGCCGGTGCTGCTATGAATGTTCACTCACAATACCCCAAGTACTAATTTGAGGCTGGGTCAACCTGCGGGAGGCCCGGATACCGCATGCCCACCAATGCTGTGCGTGACCGGGAGTCGAACTCGGCCCCGCTTGGATTGCAGCGCAAGGTGCGCATCACGGCACGACCGCCCTGCGCACCCGGCCACTCACGGCTCTCGGTTTGTTTACTGCGCGGAGAGAGAACAACATCGGCTGGGCCAATTAATGAGATGGTGAAACACTCTCCATTGGGTCACGTTGGAGGTCGGGGCTGGGGGGTAGGTAGGCAGGTGGGGGCGGGGTGTTTATGAACAAATAAATAAATAAACTAAAATGTGACTTGAAGACGGAGAGAGAGAGTGACAGTGGACTGCCGTTTGATTAGAGCTAAGAGGTTTGCCCGGGCCTCCAGGGAGAGCCATCAATGGGGGGCAGACCCCATAAATGGATGCGTAAGTGTGCGGGGCATTTTTGGGTTCCCGCTCGCTCTGCGAGCCTCTCTGCCTGTGATCTCACCTCGCTCGCCGCCGGTGATTGATGAGCTTCGCGTGCGCTGGAGACGAGGGGAAGACTCGCGAGTCCGCCCGTGCGCCCCTCATTTACCGCGGCTTTCATTTCGAGCACGCGCCCGCTGCAGTTGCAGGCTCCGCTTGGCGGTCTGCCGGCTGGGCTTGTTTTGTTTATCGGTATTTATTGGTTCCCGTTCGATTATTGTTCTCATCATCATCATAGTCGTCGTTGTACTTTGAGTTGTCTACATTTGTTGTTGTTGTTGCATCCCCTGTGGAATAATCATCCATATGGGGGCACTAAAAAAACAACACGAAAAGCCACACATTTAACGGTGCTGCAGGCTCATTCGAATTGATAATAATTATTTTAAGCGGACTTAATTCATTCTGCCGGATGCTGGTAGTGCCATTCCTCTCCATAAAACAGCGCAGCTGGATGTGTGTGTGTTGTATCGTTGGTAAAGGCGCAGCCCTTGCAATTGCCTCGCTCGCGCCACTGCTGGAGAAACGGCCTCCACTGGAGGGAACTCTAGAGGCTACCTTGGCCTACTCTTCCACGCTGGCCAGACGGTCTTGAAAGAGGCCAGGGAGCACCCACACTTTACCCCGCCGCACGCGACCTGCTGATCGACCAATTGTCGTGAACCGATTAATGCTCCTGGGTGGTCAGAGGCGGGGAGGGTATTTGAGAAACTTTACAATCGTTTGCGACCGCCACGGCAGCCGACCGAAGGACGATTTGCGGATCATTACAACGCGGCAGAGTCCTGACCTTTGCTAGGTCAAGTTCGCGTCAAATAAACCTGGAAGCACAGATCTCTCCCGCTTATGCAGAGCAGAGGCTGAGTGCGCAATATTTGTTTTCTCTAAAGTGTTTTGCATGGTATTTGACTTTGAAGGGGTGGCCCACAAATAGTTTGTTTTCTTATTGAATTGAGTCGGCCCAAGTGAGGGACAATGGTAGCATAAATGGCATTGAGCGCCCATGTTCATGTTACACAAGTGTTTCTGTGGGCATTGCACATCGAGACATATGTTCTTTGTGATCTTGATCAATCTACATGCAAACACAGCGACAGAGGTGTGGGTGCTGTGGAAGCGATGCCTTGCGATGGATGTGTTTCAGAAGTGTGAATGTCTGCAAGCAGCTGTGCTTTAGCTGTGTGTGTGTGTCCGTCAAAGCCACAAAGCTACACTATCGCGTGCGCTGGTGCTTGTGGTGGCATGTACAGTGAGGGAAATAATTATTTGATCCCTTGCTGATTTTGTACGCTTGCCCACTGACAAAGAAATGATCAGTCTATAATTTTAATAGTAGGTTTATTTGAACAGTGAGAGACAATAACAACAACAAAATCCAGAAAAACGCATGTCAAAAATAATATAAATTGATTTGCATTTTAATGAGGGAAATAAGTATTTGACCCCCTCTCAATCAGAAAGATGTCTTTTATACAGGTAACGAGCTGAGATTAGGAGCACACTCTTAAAGGGAGTGCTCCTTAATATCAGCTTGTTACCTGTATAAAAGACATCTGTCCACAGAAGCAATCAATAAATCAGATTCCAAACTCTCCACCATGGCCAAGACCAAAGAGCTTTCCAAGGATGTCAGGGACAAGATTGTAGACCTACACAAGGCTGGAATGGGTTACAAGATCATTTCCAAGCAGCTTGGTGAGAAGGTGACAACAGTTGGTGCGATTATTCGCAAATGGAAGAAGCACAAAAGAACTGTCAATCTCCCTCGGCCTGGCTCCATTGGAGTTGCAATGATCATGAGAATGGTGAAGAATCAGCCCAGAACTACACGGGAGGATATTGTTATTGGTCTCAAGGCAGCTGGGACCATAGTCACCAAGAAAACAATTGGTAACACACTACGCCGTGAAGGACTGAAATCCTGCAGCGCCCGCAAGGTCCCCTGCTCAAGAAAGCACATATACATGCCCGTCTGAAGTTTGCCAATGAACATCTGAATGATTCAGAGGACAACTGGGTGAAAGTGTTGTGGTCAGATGAGACCAAAATGGAGCTCTTTGGCATCAACTCAACTCGCCGTGTTTGGAGGAGGAGGAATGCTGCCTATGACCCCAAGAACACCATCTCCACCGTCAAACATGGAGGTGGAAACATTATGCTTGGGCGTGTTTTTCTGCTGACACAGGACAACTTCACCGCATCAAAGGGACGATGGACGGGGCCATGTACCGTCAAATCTTGGGTGAGAACCTCCTTCCCTCAGCCAGGGCATTGAAAATGGGTCGTGGATAGGTATTCCAGCATGACAATGACCCAAAACACACGGCCAAGGCAACAACGGAGTGGCTCAAGAAGAGCAACATTAAGGTCCTGGAGTGGCCTAGCCAGTCTCCAGACCTTAATCCCATGCAAAATCTGTGGAGGGAGCTGAAGGTTCGAGTTGCTAAACGTCAGCCTAGAAACCTTAATGACTTGGACAAGATCTGCAAAGAGGCGTGGGACAAAATCCCTCCTGAAATGTGTGCAAACCTGGTGGCCAACTACAAGAAACGTCTGACCTCTGTGATTGCCAACAAGGGTTTTGCCACTAAGTACTAAGTCATGTTTTGCAGAGGGGTAACATACTTATTTCCCTCATTAAAATGCAAATCAATTCATAACATTTTTGACATGCGTTTTTCTGGATTTTTTTGATGTTATTCTGTCTCTCACTGTTCAAATAAACCTACCATTAAAATTATAGACTGATCATTTCTTTGTCAGTGGGCAAACGTACAAAATCAGCAGGGGATCAAATACTTGTTTCCCTCACTGTAACCGTGCATTGCAGGGGAGTGAGAGATTAATCGTTGTCATAATCAACATTTGAAGAATTCACCCTCCCAGAGAATTCAACTCAACTCTTTGTTTTATTTTACAGCCCACTGCGCTATGAGCTCTTTTCCAGAGGCGACCTGGCCACACGTGATAGCTCAGCGAAGTGGTTGATGTCGTTACAGGTGAGGATTTATAATCGCAGCCACACAATCTACACGCGTGTTGTTTCTAAGCGTGAATGAGGGCAAAATTGGAGGAAAATCCACGCGTCCACCACGCAGAGAGAGAGAGAGTCCGTGGACTCCAAATATACAGCAGTCATCGTCAGGGTCCGGGATCGAATCCTCAACCTCCTGCATATCAGGCGAGGGAGATAACAACTCTCCACGCCCCACTTTATTTGTTTCTTCTCATTTGCAATGTCTCGTTCATATTCTTTGTTGCATTTCATGTTTATTACTTATTTTGACACACTATGCGGTGTGGGTTATTGAGAAAACTTTACCTGGCAAAAAGGGATGTAATATACATCAGATTTAATCGCAAACATCTGAGAGAAGAATTTGTAAATATTCCGTCATCGTAAATGCCTCTATTTTATATATCATTTTTGGAAAACATGTTCCAATGTTGCTGTGAGTATCCTTAATGACAGCGTATCTCCTTGTCTGACTGCTTCATTTTGTTCCTCTGTTCATATAATCTCAGTATATAAATGTTTATGTTTACAGTATGCAATTTTTCTACGTACCTTATTAAGCCTCGGTATACAAAAGGCTGGATTGAGTACGTCAAATTCCACAGAATCAAATGTGTTCGTACACAAGCAGGGCATTATGGCATGTGGTATGTGTTTTTCTAGAATCTGATTGATAGTATTACGTGGTCCATAGCAGAAAGGCCTTTTATCCTTTGTTAAATCCAGCTTGTGCGTGTGTTTGGTTGGCCTCTAAATTATACATCATTGGGTTGCCTATAATCTTTGTGAACAATTTCGATCTGCGACGGTCGGAGGCTAATGGCGTGTAATTTTTCAAATCAGCTTTGGCTGCCTTTTTGAATAGAAGAATGATTGAGGCATCAGTCTGCGCATTTCATTTTCTGTGTAAACATTTTCTAAATAGGGTCCTTCTAATTTGTTTGCAACATCTGGTCCCGCTTCTTTAACGAGGTCCACATTTATTCTACCTCGCCCAGGAGCTCTTATTGTTTTTACCTGACAAGAGTGGTGGTTCTTTCTCTGGGTGTGAAGCGTGGAATTTTCTCCACTGTCTCTCAAGCAGAATAACTTTTTTCTGTAATAAACACGAACGGAGTGAATATTAACCATCTCATCTCTGCCGATGACACAGCGATCGTGACAATCAGTGGAAATTAATGATATAACCGAAAAAGCCTTGCCGAGGCATAAATAAGAATTTTGATTTATCCTGGAGAAATCCGACGAGAAGCTCTTTTCCACAGATGAGTCTCCAGTCCCTCGCTCAGCAGGTCGGCTCTGCATTGAGATGTTTGGTAGCAGGCCGTTTAATGAGCGTGCGTCTTCATCTGGGAGAAAACCGGAGCTCCCGGAGAAAACCAGCACACGCGAGGAAACAACACTCAAGGCTACGCACAGATAGATTCAAGAATCCATTGCTGTACAGCCCACGCCTCCAACACTTGCTAATCCCAAGCAGTCTCCCTTTGAAGCACGCGCCTGGCTAAACTCTACTCGGCTTCCGAGCTCTAGCGAGATCGGTCGCACTCGAGAGTGATTCTTGCTCTGAGATTCCTTACACGACACGGTGCCGACGTCGCACAGCGCCTCGCCGTTCCTGCTGCTGCTGCTGTCGTGCTCCAGCTTCCACTCTGCAGCCCCCTTCAGCGCGTGGTGCTTGGGGGGGGGGGCGTAGGAAACTATTTTGAACTTGTGCGGCGTGATGAGATTAACAGTTGCCGTTGTTTCGAATGTCAATTCATCTTTCTTGTGTTCCGCCTGCGCGGACTTCACAGAAGCTCCGATCCTGTCTGGGTTCAGTGGAATTCTTTAAGCCCTTTGCCTGGGTCTGCCGTTTTTCAAAGCCACTAAAATTCGGTTTGACAAGCGGAGCTTTTGTTCGTGCGTTGGGTCAGTCAGTGCGCCGCACCAAATGAGTAGTACGCGTTTTATATATATTTTTTTGTAATAGCCGAGGAAAACCAATAAATGTTAACGTACGCGATGCGAGCCATCGTGATGTTTGCGGCCGATATAATAACAAGGCCCTGCAGAGGGGCACCACGGCTCCCACGATCCGCAGGAAATGCCACACGCACGGGGAGGAAGCCACCAGGGAGAGGGGGGCCCACGGTTTAGCATCGGTTTAAATCCGAGGAACTCGCGTTGCGCATTCACTTCACTGCCATGTGAGCGCCGCAGCACAGCAAGGGGAATGTCGAGTAACCGGGTCGCCTTCGGTCAGAGACCGACCGGCAGAAATGAAGCGGTAGCATTCCATTGCCGTCGCTAGGCCCTGCCCTATCGCCGTGACCCATCGGCGAACTTTTCCCCCAACGAGCCAGCCCCGAGTCGCTTGGCTCCTCTCCCCCACGGTAATCGTCACGGATTTGCGTTCCACGCGAGGGAGTTTTGGACGCTGCCGTGGTGCCAACGGTCGGCGCGGACCGCTTCAAGCCTCCGAGCAGCGCGGCAGCTGAGACAGCGGGGCACGTTGATTAAATTCCTGAACATCTGTGATTAAATTCCTGAACATCTGTGAAAAGTTACTGGGCGACTGTGAAAAAGAGCTCCATAGCTCATCGGATTCCTCCAAGATGAATAAATAAAAATATGTGTCTGAAATCCACCCACCACTTCTGTCCACCCAACAGTATGAACGGGTTCACCACAGATGATCGGCAGGATGCTTGTGGAAGGGTAAAGTGTGGGTACATACACCAAGATGTCTGATGAGTGTGGAAGAGTAGACTAAATACTCTCTTTAGAGCTCCATTTGGCTATCTTTATATATTATCACCATAAATTCGTGACTCTATTAACCAACTAAGAGTTCATCAAGTCCCGATTGAATCCATTTACTGATTACCAATTACCAATAAATGTCTGAGCCGAATGTCAATCACTGCTCGTCCGTGAGAGAAGAGTCGATGGCTTGGAGCTGATCTTCCATCGATGCACGTGTGGGTGGGTGCGTGTGTGTGCATGTGTGTGTTTTAACTCTCAGTTGCGAAACGGAGGTCCCAAACGATTCTCACGCAGAGAGGCCAGAAACAGCAAGAGCGAGGGTAGAGACGGAGGGAGTGGTGGTATTTAACAACGCACCTCTCCACCCCAGCGTGACTCAAGGAACTGTCATCATTCCTGGGGCTTGCGGTTCAACTCAAGAATAAATTATTTCGCCTTTTCTTTACTTCTTGTTTCTATTTTCTGTCAACTGCTAAAAGCAGGGTGACCAGCGGTAAGTCACCGGCGATCAGTTGCCTGCTGATCACTCTTCTATCGCTACTACCACGGTGACTGTTGCCCTGAACTGTACTCGTTCATTTCTCATTCCACGTTGAGGACTCGGTCTGCACCAGCCACCAACCGTTTCATCTCACCCTGCACACTGTGACCACCACCACCACCATCATTCCCGCACTGCAGGCAACAACGCTTCACCACCACCACCACCACCAAGCGCTTCAGGCCACAACGCTTCACCACCGCCATCACCACGCTTCAGGCCACAACGCTTCGCCACCACCACCGCGCTTTAGGCCACAACACTTCACCACCACCACCACCGCGCTGCAGGCCACAACTCTTCACCACCACCACCACCACGCTTCAGGCCACAACTCTTCACCACCACCACCACCACCACCATGCTTCAGGCCACAACGCTTCACCACCACCACGCTTAAGGCCACAACGCTTCACCACCACCACGCTTCTAGCCACAACCCTTCACCACCACTACCGCGCTGCAGGCCACAACGCTTCACCACCACCACGCTTCAGGCCACAACGCTTCACCACCACCACGCTTAAGGCCACAACGCTTCACCACCACCACGCTTCAGGCCACAACGCTTCACCACCACCACCACGCCTCAGACCACAACGCTTCACCACCACCAAGCGCTTTAGGCCACAACGCTTCACCACCACCACCGCGCTTCAAGCCATAACACTTCACCACCAACACCACCGCACTCCAGTCCACAACGCTCCTCCATATGCTTCCTCCCTGGCACTTCTCCACTTGGAATTCCCTCCCCGTCGTCTCTCCCCCCTCTCCCCAAGCTCTCACAACCTTGCTCACGTCCGGCACCCCCCACGACAACTGTCATCGTGCTGTCTGTTGCTGGCCGCTCGACCTTTTAGGCCTCTAGGCCTGCGCTCAGGAACTGTGAGTTGTTGTTGTTGTTTGTTTGTTTTTTCCACATTGTCCGTTTCATTCGTTTGTCGTTGTTTGCGCAATCTCATTTGCACCATTACCCTAAATGTAGCATTTCCATAAGATCTGCATACATTGTAAATAATTGATTCTCACGTGAATGCTTTGATAGATGTATCCCGAGAATAATAAGTTATTTCATTTAATGAATCAATGAATCATTGCACGCCTCGTGAACAGTAACACACTTCTTATTTCCCCGCCCTATTATTTTTGTTCCCAACTGCGCTGTCGGACTTCGTGTCGGCCTCATGTCACGCACGTTCGGAACTTTCGCAGCAAGCAGTGGACCACCCAGGGCGATGCAGTCCTATGACAAATGACACCACGGTGGTGAGATGTTAATTACCTCGCCTGGTATACAGGAGGTCGTGGATTCGATCTGGACCCTGACGCTTGCTGCATATTTGGAGCTTGCACGTTCTCCACGTGCTCGCGTGGATTTTTCTCCGGGTCTTCCGGTTTTTTCCCTCCACGCTTAGAATCAACATCGCGCGTTTAGAGCATTGCTGTAAATGTGCACGCGATAATCCACTACGCTGAGCTATCGTTTGTGGCCAGGTCGCTTCTGAAAAACAGCTATAGAGCTCAGTGGGGCCTAACCCTCAGCAGAAACATCCATCGGCGCCGGCTCCTCCGGCCTTCCGTGGGCAGCTGCCGCGGCGCGCGACCCCGTCCGTGCGCAGCCTTAAATTTTCTTGGGTCAAGCTCATAACGCACGGCGGCGCGGAGCCTGTGAATTACATTTCCTGCTGCGACCTCGTGTGACAGTGTCCCTGGATTGATTTGTTACTGGAAGGCAGAGGGAGAAAGAGAGAGAGGAGGGGGGGGGGGAGAGGAACCCCTCCCTCGCCCCCAAATCAGATCGTTACAGTAACGCAGACAAACGGCCGAGCGGCGAGAAGGAGCGGCGAGATTGTGGTCTTTCTCATTTTTCAGCTGGCGGTCGTGTTTCAAACCCCGCACACTTTGTCACCCGTGCCCCGCCCCCCCCTTCTCCTTGGGGTTTTCATTGCGTCGCTGGCGAAGCGTGGAAAACTTTATAAACCCCTGCGAGCTGCAGGATTGGCGGGCGGGAAAGGGTCGATGTCGCGACGGCCTCTGTGCGGGACGCGTAGCGAGCGGTGCCCCTCGCCGCGCGCGCTACTCGGGTTGCTCGCTCACCCCCAAGGAGGTTCCGCTGGGTCGACGGCCGCCGTGTCAGGAAGAGGAAGCGGCGTCCTCGTCGTCCTCGTCGAATCACCGCTCGTGGAGCTCTAAAGTCCGCGTGCCGGATCCGTGCGATCGCGCGTCGAGCAATCCTAGTGCCCGACGGCATCGATGGGCGTCGAGGCTCGGGAAGGCGATGGGTCATGGTGGTGGAGGGGTCGTGTTGGAACGAACATCACCTCAACACTACTCACAATCTGACACCCAATGACATATTTCGGGTGCCATGGTGGCGAGATGTTAACTCCCTCGCCTGGTATGCAGCTGGTCGTGGGGTCGATCCCGACCCTGATGCCTGCATGTTTGGAGTTTGCGTTCTCTCTCCCCGTGGTGGTCGCGTGGGGTTTTCTCTGATTCCTCCGGGGTTTCCCTCCACATTTAGAAATATGCGTTTTGAGTATTTGAACCTGATGGCGGTACCCCGGGGTACCATCGTACTCCCCGGCTCTCGCATAATGTCCATGATGCAGTCATCTTTAGTCTGTTGATGGTCGGCGATGCGGCAATCGACTCATCTCGACGAGCTGTACACTGCGATGCACCACCACTACGGTGCTTGCGAGCGTTCAGGGTTTCAGCGCAATCGTCTTCGTCTGCGTTTCAACATCGCGAAGTGTGGCACTGATTTCGGATTGATTGGTACCCCAGTCGCGGAGTTATGTAACACCCCTGGAAACAAAAAGTGTCCCAGAAATGAAATATTTAATTGCCTCGGCTCATTTTGTATTATTTGGTACCCCGGGGTACCGCCATAAGGATCATTTGGCTATCATTCGTGGCCAGATTGCTTCTGAAAAAGAGCTATAAAGCTCAGCGAGCCTTACCTGGTAAAAATATTTTTAGTTTAGTTTTTGAACCAAACGAAGTCTTAATTTAGTTTTAATGAATGTATAAATGAACGTCAATCCCCAAACTTCAATATGTACAACTTAATGTAGTTTCTGCGACCTGGCATATTTTCTAACCGTGATTTATACAGTCCCTTCCTTGGCGATTGAGGGTTGCGGTTTGATTCAGGGATCAAATGTATCTGTAGCATTGTGATGCAGGTGTAACATCAACCCCGCGTGAGTTTGCAGGTATGTCAAACCATTGATGGATGAAGCCCTCCCCATGCCAATTCCTTCGTAGGCGTTGTTTGACCATACTTCACCACACTGGTCAGTGCGGGCTGGCGGAGGTGCCGGGACCCAGCGATCACTCGCCAACGATGTTAGCCGTGGCTGGGAATTAAACTCAGGTGGCCGGGGTCGTAGTTGCAGTACGCTAATCACTGCGACATCACTCTACCCCACAAACAACATATATCAATGTATACACATTGATACCTACACACATGATTTTATACATGTGTCTCGAGCTTAAGAATCGACATTAACCGATGAAGCAATGCGTTGTTACATCCTTATTCAGTTGTTACATCCTTATCACCACGACCACCACCACCATAATATATACAAGTGTGACTGGTAGAGGAGCCGCTGCCACTGCTGCTGACCAGAGTCTGCCAGCGAGGAGGGAGATGGTCTTAGTCTCTCATCTCTCTATACGAACTATACGATTCCTCCAGCATCCCGTGTACACACACATTGCACACACACAGACACTTGCACACTGCCACAAAAAAAAACCTAAAAAAACATAAAAGAAAATGTTAAAAGGCCGGCTGGGCACGCTTGACTGAGCTAGTCTGTGGCTTTATGTCCCCGAGTGGCAATATGGAACCGCCTCGTGTACTGCTCATTGAATTTCAATGGGCGCTGTTTATCGCTCCGCTCCGAGCCACTGGTGCTGCGGGCAACAATGGGAAACGGGGGGTGGAGGTGGAGTAGACGCGGGGAGTGGGGTGAGTGGGGGGCTGCGCAGGGACGGGGAAGCTGGGAGGACGGGAGAGGTTACGGGTACATGGACGGCTGCTTAAATAAAATAAAAACAAAAAGCCTCGTCTGTCTGTCCTGCCGGCCGGTCGGCCGGGTTGCGCACTGGCTGTTTGGCCGTGCCGCACCCCCACTGAGTGTACACTGCACTGCAGCGAGAGAGTGTCGATAAATGTCAGGGTCGCGACAGAGAGCGGGACAGTTGTGCGCGCGCGAGATTGGATTTGTTGCGCTTGGGGCCACCGCATTCACGGCGCGCGGGTCAGTCCGCCGACTGCGTGGAAAGTGTGCGGAGTGACAAAACATAACCCGCGCTCGCATCGCTGGACGCGAGACAGGGTGGCGGCACGCGGGTCTGCCTGCCTGCCTGCCCACGCGCATCCGCGGCAGGCGAGAGCGAGTTCCAGTGGAGTTTTCTTTTTAATGTCGCCCACTGCTTCTCCCGTCGGCACGCCGCATTGCGCGCAGGAAGGGTCGAGTGGGAATGTGAACCTGACGGGGTGCCCGCAGTCGGCATTGGGTGGTGCGCGTGCGGCCGCGAACTCGACGACCCCCCCCCCCCCCCCCCCCACTGAGGCTCACGGACTCGTGCTGTTAGTGAGCACGAATGGGTTGGCGTAGCCGGTACCACGCCGCGATTGTCTCCCTGGTGCTGATGCTTACTCACCAGCACCGGGTACTCGTTTAAGGCCGAGTCAACCTAAGAGAGGCCCAGGACCGGTCCTGATATTCGTCACTGTTATTGGCCACGAATCGAACTCAGGCCGCCCGGCTTCGTAGCGCAGTGACGCGCTAACCGTTGCGCCACCGCTCCCCCACACGCGCACGTAGGCGCGCGTACGCGCGCACGCACGCGCGGATCCTTGACTAGCGCCGAGCCACCTTCGCGCCGCCGCCACTGCCGCTCTCTCGCGCGCCTTTCTCGTGATCATGGGCGCGGGGGGCAGCGGCGCTGCGCCAGCGGCAGATGCGGGCGCCTCCGGGACGCGCGTGCGTGAGGGGGGCGCGCGCGCGCGTGGGGGGAGAAGGAGGGCGCGCGCGCGAGGGGGGGGGGCGCGCGCGCTTGGGGGGTGGGCGCGCGCGCGCGTGCGCGCGTGCTGCCGAATCAATTTCAGCGCCGCTGAATAGAAACAAAAAAAATACCGCGCGGCACCGCGCAACGCGGTTGGCTGTGCGCCGGACGCTAATGCCATTTCCAATAAATTAACTGCCTCACAGTTGCCGTACCATTAATTTTCACAGAGTGCGATATTCAAAATTTACTTTATTACGGTGCGTACATTTCTGGCGTGTAACTTGCACAATTTAATTTCGCCTAATAGATTGTTTTTCGTGCATGCTTTGCCGTTGTGTTTATTAAAAGGGGGCTCTGCCGCATTCTTGTGCTTCTGAACCATTCATCTCGACACGTATGTCGCGTATGTGAGGTTACCAGAAACGTTGGGTGCTGCGTTCGTAGGGTTTACATCGGTTGCGTTTTTTGCAAACAGGCTGTATATTCGGACAAATCAAACGCAGTAATAGTCCTGCAAATCCTCAGAAAATCACTGGCAGTAAAACGAGGGTGATTCAGACGTTCAGCAATCGCCATCAAAGCGATACTCACAAAATGCAGATTTTCCAAATCCTTGGATGCGGATTTTTCACAGCAGCACTGCTGACTCGACATGGCGGGGAGCGATTTTCACGCGGGTCGTGGTGGTGGTGGGGCAGGGAAAGTTTCCTGGCCTCCAGGAATAAACACGAGGGCGTCTTTGAACGCGCTCCCGAATTTCTTGGTAAAGCGTCTCGGCGCTCTGATCCCCATCAAACGGGCTCGGTGCACGGGCTGACGACGTCTCTCTAGGAACCGCGATTCGCGCCTCCAGGCCCAGGATTTATTGGTCTGAGCCCGCGGGTGCCACGATTAATGTGTTTGGGGATTATGATCAATAGGTGTGCATTCGATTGTGCGAGGAGCGGAGAGATCTGACATATTTTAAGCCACGATAAGATACAATATTGTCTCACAGCCAAATCAGCCGTCCACAATTCTCGTTGCTTGTAACGTCTACAAAGGCAACCCCCCCCCCCCATGTAACCTTTAACAGGCTGCTGGGGCAAGTGCGGTTAGCGAGCACCTATGAAGACCGCCACGGCACACGAGGAAGCGGTGTGGTTAGCACCACGCCTGGCAACCTTTGTCTCCATGATTTTTACACATTGCACCAGGTGCTCGTTTTCGGCCGAGTTGACCTAGAGGAGGCCCCACTACTGTTTTTTGAGAATCGTCAAAGATGTTGGTCCGCAGCCGGGTGTACAACTCGGGTGGGCCGCAAAGTAACGCAGTGTGCTAACCGCTGCGCCACCGCTCTACCCAAGGTACATACATACACACGTGTATCCACTCCGTTGAAAGTACCATAATTTAACATGAAAAAATATTATTTATTATGAATCTAGTTAAACTTCTGCTTCCCAATTTCCACGTTAATTACACAATTTAGCAGATGGGCACAAATACACGTCACAATGAAGTATTTAAATATGTATAGTAATTGATTCATAATTGATATGCCACTCTGCAGAACACAAATCAATCAGTCATTCTATCAACACACAAACACTTCGTAACAAAAAATATTTAATGGCATGAATCATCTGCGATAATTGTACATGTATATAACGGGTAATCCTCTGCATTAAGGGAGCATCATTGATTTCACCATGTGGTGCGATGTACAAGTACGTCCACTGCTGGATGCTGGCATTCCCCACGCGATAAAAGTCATCGAGTTCATTTAACCATACTTCACCACACCGGTCATACTTCGTGAAGGAGGGGAGCATAGACATGTGGACATCGAACTGCAGAAATTCACGTACTGCGCTGTCACCCGTCACAGCGCTATCCAGGCGCAAAGCCTGCTGAGCCTGCGAGCTCTGATGAGACCGGGCGCATTGCACGTGGCTCGGCCACGTGGTGCGACGCGTGACTCGGCCACGTGGTGCGACTCGGCGCCATATATAACCGGTGCACGCCTTCTACGGGTGGTGCGGCGGCAATGTTCATCATCCTCGGCACTGTTAAAGGTGAAGCCCCGCAATTAGTTGCCACTTCAGGCGGAAGAGACTCGACGAAGCGTGAACTCAAGGGCCCCTTCTCGAGGGTATTTGGCCTACTCTTCCACGCTGGCCAGGCGTCTTGAAATCTGACTGTGGAGGGCCCGGTGTGTGTCTCGTGACGCAAGCGTTGTCTCCGTGCGATGCACTGGCGCGCCATAGGAGGTAAGTACATTTACAAGTACACAAACACACCTCTCACGGGCAGGTTGGCAACGGGTGCGCAATGTCCATGCATCGCGACCTCCGTTTAAGAGGCGAGTCTTGGGGTTTTTATCAAAACCGGTTCACGACGCAGCGGGTCGTGAGTTGCAGATTCATGGAACCCACGGACGGCGAAGCAGGGTCCCCGCGTCTCTTGCCCTCTTCATCCGTGTGAGCCAGCCAAGTCGAGCGCTCCACTCAGCCCTCCGCCCCCCTCTCTCCCTTACCCGCGGCCTCTGACGGTTTAAATGGAACAGGAGTTGTGTTTTTGATTGCGCGCACTCTGGGGCCTATCAGCCGGCCATTCGGTTCGAGCGGGGCCTCGTTTGCCCGGCCTCGCTCGCATCACGCCCGACAGTGGCAGCATTGTCACGCGGCCTGGAATGATCACACCCCAACCCCCACACTTTACCACGCAGAGATTCGTTGAATTGTCTCCATTGCGTATAGTGATTTATATTGCGTAATTTTCGTTTTGTTTGGTTTGCTCCGCCGTCTAACTGTAACCATACAAAAGCCATGGAGTTGATGATCGTCCTGTTTCACCAGAGGCCTGGGCCAGTGGTGAAACTCCACATTATTGTGGTGGCCGGGGCATGTTTCTCTATTTGACAACCCCTGTTGACTTTCCCACGAAGTGGTAGTCGTTTTACGTACCGTGGAGGGATGCTGATGATGATGGGCCGATGTGAACCACCAGCCATGATGTGTTCTTGCGATCGCTCCACCGCCGTCCCACCTGATCACAAAGTAACAAAGCGACCATTAGCTTTGCATATACCACGTGCTTTGCATATACCACGTGCTTTGCATATACCACGTGCGTTGCATATACCACATGCGTTGCAATTACTGACGAACACAGCAATTGATTCTCAACCAAGCGCGGTTTGATGTGAGAAATCGATGTTAACCGGTGAATCGACGCGTCATTACGCGTCTGCCTGTTGGTCATACTCCACACCACTTTACCACCCATCGTATGCATATGTATGTTGAACTTCTTTCGCACCGTACGTCGCCAACTGTGCGAATCGGAGGTGCGGGGGGAGGACACCGATCCCATATCCGTGACGGGCCAATCGCGGAGGTAGTGGTTTCTCTATGGGCCAAGCGGACGCGCCCAATTAGAAGCCATCTGCTGCTGCACGACAGTATGCACAATAATACATTGCAAACATAAACGTGTAACATATTGTCTGATGATTTTTACATCAAAACAATTCAAATCGCCATAAAGACTCGATTAGTTATGGCCAGCTGGTATGGTCAGCTGTGTTGTTTAAATAAAGGATGGAGGGGGGGTGTAATTATTGTGGAATTTTAAATGCGCAGTACTGTACAGTATCGTATGCCCATTTAGGAAAAATAAAATCCATGATGCATCTCAGATGCTGTGCACCGTTTTTTCCATACATCTCGATATACATAAATCAAGTTCAGAGTGGTAAAGCGGTGGCAGTGGTTTGCACGTCCATGAGCTGGTTAACGTGTGTTTACAATCATGGCCAAGAAACATCTAAACCCGTTCTAAGACCCATGCATGGTGAAGTATGGTCAAACGACCACCATGACTGACGTCGCGTGGGAAGGGCCTTGATAAGTACGAGGAGGAGACATCCCACGGACGAAATTGTGCACAACACAGTGCGAGTTCACAAAAATAAACCAGAATCGTCAACGGCGCCATGAAACGAAGCAACCGCATTGCCTGGACGCGCCGCTCCACGCTCCGAGCGTTGCTCTTCCCCACGGGTCTCGTGTCCCAGCCGTGCCATGTCATCGGCAACTTCGCAACGTGCCCGTTGCATTGTCACTCGAGAGACACTGGCCCATCCTTGGAATGCTGCGCATAAAGAATTCATGCCAGTCGAGTAGTTCCCAAAGAAACAACAAATTGGTATAGTAATAGGTTTTACCCTTTTAATTGGCACAAAAACTGACACCTTTATTCAAGGCATCATGTTTGCAATAACCACAACACAAGCAGACAAAATGCAAACAAAAGAGACAACTCTGATAATAATATGCACTGTCCTTGAATTTGATTGGTCCACAGCCGAGACAGCTTTTCTTAGAGCCTAGTCTCCACTGGTGTTCGACCAGATGACGCCAAAAACAACAAATTGACGACAAAATGTTCAGGATACAAAAACGGGGGGGTGTAGTGGGGTGGGGAGCGGTCATTAACCATCGTGCCAGGGTGTGTGCCTTTGTTGTTTTACGACTGAACCCGGGGAGTCGCGCGCCGTTGATCTGTCAGCGGCGAGTTTCCCCGCTAACCTCTGGTGTGCATCGATGTTTGTCACCGCCATGAATTGGGCGCCATCGAGCCCCTTCAAGGAAGGTGCCTTATCCCAGCCCCATCGGTCACAATATTTAGCGGCAAAGTCATGGCGCAATGACTAGTCTCTGAACCGCGCGGCCGTTTGTCACGCTAACAAATGAGCGTCGCCGTTTGGTGGCGCGCACTGTTTATTTTGTGATATCGTCATTACGAAAACCACCAGCGGCAAGATAAGTGACCCAACCTGTAAGGTGACCTTTGTGTGCATCTGGCCGAATAATGAAAGTTGCTTTGCTTGTCTAGGTGGAATCTATATAGAGTATATGTATAATGTACGTCTCTTGTGTCAGTCCGCTGCTGGATGAGGGCCTCCCCATGCCGTGTGGATCGTGGGGGTTATTTGACCGTACTTCGCCGTGCTGGTCAGCTATGAGTTGGTGCGCGGAGGGGGCTGAGGATCGATTCAAACGTCACTCCCCAATGCCGCTGCTGCATAGGTTTTGGCGGTGTTGCTCTGTAACTGTTGTATTATTGTTTTGTTGTTTCCACGTACGGGAGCTTCTTCCATTCAGTCTCTGAAGAAGCTCCTGGCTCGTGGAGGGAAACGTTGGACAACGTGTCGAACGCCACATGGTTACAAACAGAAAACGCTACGGACGAGAGCTTCACCCACCAACGATGTTAGCCGTGGCTGGGAATCAAACTCAGGTCACCAGCTTCAGAGGGGTATACGCTCATCACTGCACCACCACTCCTCTGGCAAGCTATTTCCAAAGGGCAGCCTGTTGCAAGCAGCTGGTTCGTTCACTCGGTGCAGTTGGTGGGTAGACCAGTGGCTCTGGGAACCCGTGGCTCAAGAGCCTGCCCAGAAAGCAGCAATAACTCACCAATCCCCTAAGCGTCACACCACTCGCCACATCCTGATATGCGAGAGTGAGTGTTTATTCACCGACAAGTTATCCTTCATCGCGTGTAGCATTTCCCGTCTCGCCACAAAGTCGGCAAACATGCCATTTTGCTCAATCTGCTGGAGCCCTAATGTGCCTCTCGGCCGCGTCAAGCCACGCTCCTTCGTACGACATCCATTACTCGCGGGGTGTGGGGATATTTTACGTTTACCGAGCGATGCGGATATATGATGGAAGAATGTTGCAAGTTATTGCACATCTTTCAGCCTATCGTCGTCATCATCATCGTCAGCTACGATCAATCCGCTGCTGGATGCAGGCCTCCCCAAGCCGCTGTCATCTCTCACGGATCCGCGATGCAAAAAAGCGTTCAGCACCCGCGCACGAGCTTATTCCGTCGGTTCAATGTCTCCGCAGCAGATGTCTTCTCGGGTGTGTTCCCTCCTTTGGCTGCAACTCCGACAGTAGTCTTAGACCGGACTCGTCCGTTGCGGTGTCGACGTGACCTGCCCAAGCCCCCCCCTGTGGCTGTTCTTTAGCCCATCAGAAGGGTGGCTTCCAGATTTGTTAAGGAGCATCTGGTGAGCTCCTGGCCTCCAGCAGCCCCTCTGAAATCCCAGGTGGTGGAAATTCCACATTCCTGTGGTGGGTGGGCGAGTCCACCCATAAGACAACGACTGGTAACGGGATGTGAACTCGCAACCTTCCGATGGCGAGCAGCTCGCTCTGCCGCTGAGCCACCTGGCTGGCTGGTAAACATGTAAAATTCATATAACTGTTTGCATATAATTTGGATAAATTACAAGGAATGATGCTTGTGTATCACGAGTCTAAGAATCAATTTTAACCTGTTCATTGTTACATGCGTACTACTACACCACTTGCATCCGTACTAATCATTTGCGGCCATAAAACAAGTTAAATCAATGGAATGGTAGTTAAATAAATTCCCAGTGAAGATCTTTATAATTGCAGAATGCACACCCGATATTTATTGATTGACTTTATCCAGATAAACACAAATCGGATATATTATTGTTTCTGTTAATGAAAGTAAACGGCCTTGGGGCAGGACACATCGGGAACAACAGCTGATGGACCAAGACTGGTGGTGGAATGGCACCCGAAGGAGAGAACGCGCCAGAGAGCAGGGCAGCTGCGAAGGTGGAGTGATGAGTTCAGTTCGTGTACACGATGTATATGGGTTGTGCAGGATCAACACGGATTATGGATTGCAGGACCGTGAGGGATGACGATGGTATCGGGAGGCCTTCACCCTGCAGTGGATTGATCATGGCTGATGATGTCGATGTTTTAAGAGAAGGTAACGTTGAATACAGACACGCATGCACACTCGTTACAGAATTGTGCTTTCCTGGACATGGGGATACCAACCAAACTTGTTACTCATTCTATGAATTGTCCTGAAAAAGTGGGACATTAAAATAAAAAATCGGTCTGAAATCATAAGCTGAGCAGTTTTTTGGTACACCTGATTTTGGTAAATTATCTTTATTTTCTATATTTATATTAAGACATTCCACCTGACTGACCCCTCGAGACGGAACATCTCGATTGCAACGGCGTCCAGGAGCGCCAACTTACGCGCGCTCCTAGGCCCGACACGCAGTGACACGTCTTAACCACGTCGCGTTCGCTTTGGGGAGGCCTTCACCAGTGGGTTGATCGCGGCCAGGGAGTATGATCTCACTCCCGACTCTGCGCGTGTGCACGCCGGCGGGCCCGGCCACACCGAGGCACTCGGCGCGCGCTGCCGCTGCTGCGTCGTGAGTAACGGTCGCTGTGTTCGTCGCTCGTGTTAATTTGTCTCCGGGATCTCCCATCTGCTCCTCGGGTCATTAGCATTCATCATCCAACTCTGTTGTAGTCTTGGCCGCTGTATGCTTTCCCACTCTCGAGTGGAACGCCCCTTTGGATTTTATATTTTAATGGCGGCAACGTTGATAAGGGTGGAGCAGTGCAACAGTGGTTAGGGCCCTGCGCTATGGACCCTGCAATCCCAGTTCAAGTCCTGGTCACAGCTAACATCAGCGTCAAGTGATATCATAACCAGTTCTGCCCTCTCTCCCCCCACCCCCTTCACCGATCCACAATAACCGGCGTGGTAAAGTATAATCAAAACCCCGTGACTGACATGGTGTGAGATGGCTTTCATCCGTTGGTGGATTGAGAATGTCTGAAATGCTTTATTTCATATTGTTATAATAATATGGCAATGCCTTTTTATATACCCTGGCTCAAAAGCTGCTTGGCGTCTGAGGTCTGCGATTGGGCGCATGCAGGGTGGTTCATGCAAACAAGACGGGTGCCCTGTGTCGGCACAATTCATGCTCACGATCGGTGTTTAATAGCGGCCGCCCACGTCGCCACGTGTAGGCGGGATTCACGGTGTCCCTCCGCATGCCTGCCAGTGGAGCCCTGGCTGTAGTTGTGGCATCTCGATTACTGGTTTTGATTATTTTTATAACTAATTTTTTTTTTATAAATGCCTCCGTTTTGTGAGAGCTTGAATGACGGCATTGC